TGCCGCCTTCCAGGGTCATGGCCTCAGCGTTTTCCAGCGTCTCGGTCCCTGCCACCGCCAGCGTGGGGGCCCTCCTGTACATAGAGTATCCCGTCTGCCAGGAATGTTCCTGTCATCCTCCTGTGAGTCGGTCTTTGTTCCTCAACCCAAACGCCGCTTCCCCAGGGAGCCTCTGACCTGGAGGTCGGGACCCTCACCGAGGCCTGCGCCTGCCCCTCACGTAGCCCGTGTGCCGTTACCGCTGCGCAGTGGCTGATCGTCTGCTGTGCACATGCCTGGGGGCTCCCAAGGGTGCAGCCGTGGTGTCTGCCTGGGCGCGTGCCCCTGTCTGGCCGTCCGTGCAAGGGCGACCCAGAGCAGAGCAGAGCCTTGTGCGGGATGAGGGCAGGGGGCAGAGGTCCCCAGAGTGAGGGCGCATGCATGGGGACCAGCTCGTCAGGTGGGAAGGGGCTTCCCAAGTGCGCAGGTGATGTTGGCAACAGAAAGGACGAGGCAGCACAGTCGCGGGGAGAACACGGGAAAGGGGGTGACACTGTTTTTGGTGGATAAGTGGTGCGTGGGTTTCTGTTTGCTGTGAGTTTATGACGTTGTAGCATCAGCAGCCTTATCTCACACAGTAGGTTTGGCAGTTGAACAGGTGTTAGAGGCACACATGTGTACCTGCGTGTGTCTGTACATATATGTACACACGAGTACACATGTTTTTGGTGGTGACCATGGCTGGCTATGGGGGGGGGCTGGAGAACCTGTTCCCATCTCTCCGTTTTCAGGCTGTGATTCTGCGGGTGCTCCTACTATGTGCACAACTTCCAGTAGTGGAATCAGGATCAAGGATACTCATGAAACGCCAGCTCTGGGAGAAGAGAAGGACCCGGATCCGGGTTCTGAGGGTCTCCCAGGCTCGGAGGCCCCAGCCTCTGCTGTACCGGGCCACGTGGCCATGTGGACTGGCGGGCTGGGTGGCGGGGCCACAGCTCGGGGAAGCAAACAGGGAGTAGAAGGCAGCAGAGCGTTCACAGGGGTGCTGGGCACCGTGAAAGTGGGGGGCTCTGGCGGTGAGCAGCTGGGGATACCAAGGCAGGAGCCTCGGAAGGGCTCCGTGCAGGAGATGGGGCCCGGAGACGAGGAGCTCCAGGCAGCTGTAGGGGAGATGAAACCATAGGCCTGTGGGGCGAGTCGGGCTGTGTCCCTTCTCGGGGGTTTTGGAGCCGGGGCTGGTTAGACTTTGCTCCGGCAACTTTGCTGCGTGGGCCGCCCTCAGCGTCACGCCTGCATCTCGGTTACACTGACGCTGATGCTTTCCTGATTTAAGTTTCCTCTTTCCATCTCCCGTCTGGTCTTTACTGTTTCCTTAGAAACTTCTCTGGGGTCCCGTCTACCAGCCAGGGACTCGGGGAGAACAAAGCAGCAGTTTCAAAATTCCGGCCACTGAAAAAAATCTACCAAATATATTTAGGAACGTCCTTGATTTTCAGTTTCACTACGAGATGTGTACCCACATCTAGGGAAATCCAGCAACTGTGGCCCCTTAAATTAGGGAGTGTGGTGGGGAACATGTGTGCAGGCTGTGGGGTCTTCCAGGCTCTCTGCTCTGGTCATGTCACGCCAAAAGGCCTTGCTGGCAATTGTTTGTTAGAATAAAGGACACGCGTGCTATGGTATCCTTTCAACACGGCGAAGAGATGAATTTCTCTGTTGAAAAGTGCACTGGATGTCACCACGCCTGTCACAACGGCCACATACGGGCACCATGGCGCCAGAGCCGCCCGCGTGTGAGCATTGGGGCTCTCGCTGCCGTGCACCACGGCCTGGCAACTTCCTGGAACTAAACATGCTCTTCCCGCGCCGTCCCGCAGCCACATTCGTTGGCATTTACTCAGAGGGGTTGAAAACTTTCGTCTGCACAGAAACCTGCACGTGGACATTCGTAGCAGCTTTATTCACAATTGCCGAAGCCTGGCAGCAGCCAGGATGTCCTTGGGCAGGTGAGCAGGTAAACGAAAGGTGCGTCCGGACGATGATGTTATTCAGCACCAAAAAGAAAGAGCTCTCCAGCTGCGGGAGGACTCGGGGGAAACTGAAATGCACGTTGTCGAGTAACAGAAGCTCGTCTGGAAAGCTGCAGGTTCCAGCTGTAGGGCACTCTGAGAAGGCCAACTGTGGGCACGGTGACAGGTGACAGACCAGGGCTCGCTGGGGGTGGGGGAGGGAAGGAGGAGCAGGCAGAGTTCGGGCACACAGGACACGTGTCATTGTCCGTCTGTCCAAACCCACAGGTTGTGCAGCACCAGGAGGCCCCAGGGGAGCTGTGGGCTCCAGGTGGCGACGTGTCCACGTGTGTCCACAGACTGATAAATGCTCCCTCCACGGGGACTGGCAGGGGGCCGTGTGTGTCAGGGTCCCTGGGACACCGCTGTGCCTGCCACTCAGTTTTCCTATAAATCTAAACTGCTGTGAGAAATAGGCTATGAGAGACACCCTGGGGACGGCGTCTGTCTCCACCAGCCTGGGTGTGAGAGAGAGTCAATGGTTAGTTTATTTCAACTTTCAAATAGCTAAAATTACTAGCTAAAACTAATTCTGAAAGCACAAATGGTGTTTTTGTTTTTTTTTTTTTTTTTGGAGACAGAGTCTCACTTTGGTGCCCAGGCTAGACTGAGTGCCATGGCGTCAGCCTAGCTCACAGCAACCTCAAACTCCTGGGCTAAAGCAATCCTACTGCCTCAGCCTCCCGAGTAGCTAGGATTACAGGCGTGAGCCACCGCGCCCAGCCAAAATTGTTTTTTTTTTTTTTTTTTTGAGACAGAGTCTCACTTTGGTGCCCAGGCTAGACTGAGTGCCATGGCGTCAGCCTAGCTCACAGCAACCTCAAACTCCTGGGTTCAAGCAATCCTACTGCCTCAGCCTCCCAAGTAGCTAAGACTACAGGCATGCGCCACCATGCCCGGCTAATTTTTTCTGTATATATCAGTTGGCCAATTAATTTCTTTCTAGTTATAGTAGAGACGGGGTCTCACTCTTGCTCAGGCTGGTTTCGAACACCTGACCTTGAGCAATGCGCCCGCCTTGGCCTCCCAGAGTGCTAGGATTACAGGCGTGAGCCACCGCGCCCGGCCACAAATAGTGTTTTGAACACACACGTATATATATATTTTTCTATATATGTCCTAAATACACGTTTGAAAGAGAGGCTTTAAGAAAATCTAGAGAATGTATGTATAATATTGTATGCAAGAAGCCAAGTTTAGAGAATGATGCTCTTATGTTTTAGAAGAGAAATAATAGATTTTCGGAAAGTTCCAAAATCAATAGGAATTGTCTTTGGCCGTTTTTCTTTATGAAAACCTGAATGACGTGTCCTTGGGAAGGTGACTCGGCCCCTCTTGCCCCGCCCCGGCCACTCCACTGGGGGCAGCTCCTGGGTCACCTGCTAAGGCGCATGGGCGCCAGGCCAGCTGCCGTGCCAGGCACGGCCTGTCACGTCCGTGCAGACGTGTGGGGTGTTCGCATCGCAGGTCAGAAGGCTCTGCTGGCTCCGGCTCAGGTCTGTGGTCTCCGGTGAAGCCCAGCTGGGAGCCCAGAAACCCACTTCTGTCCTCCCATGGCCTCCAGGCCTGGGCCTGACATGGGCCTTGGGCTTCCTCCCTGCGGGGCACGGGGGTTGGGCCATCCTAACGTGTTGCCTGGTTCTACTTTGCAGGGATTGCACCGGAGAAATAGAATAAAAATCCTAGGTGTGTTTTCAGCAGGTCCTTGTTTTCTCTCTCTTGCCCTCCCCCATGCATGGAGTTCTCCGCGTTGGACAAATTGGGGGGCAGGGACTCCGTGCTGCTGTCAGGCACCCAGCGAGGACAGGGACGCCCCACCCTCCCCTGGGGCTCTGTGTGGCCTTTGCACAGGTCTCAGGAGTGCCTGGGACAGAGGGCTGTGCGTGTGGTGGGCAGCGCGGAGGGAGAGCCGCGGGAGCCCGACCCCCCCAGGCATTGTGCGCCTGTGGGAGCAGCTGGCCCCGTCCTCCCTGTGCTCCGGCCGTGCGCAGCCCATGGAAACGCAGGGCGCTCGCGGCACTTAAGATTATTTTCCTCTGCTCACGCGGCCCGTTGCCTGAGCGTACATGTAGTATCAGGCTGGCAATTACCGAGCTGCCCCGGCCCGGCAAATGTGTCTCTGCTAATTAAACTTGTTGCATCTGAATGGCTTCTTCAGCCACCCTGCGAGGAAACTGTCGTGAACAATAAAAGGAGCCATTCTCCCCTCCACTGCGGCGCAGCTGCCGCCCTGGGCGTGAGGCCCCGGCCTGAATCGGCCTTTTGTGAGCACCAGAGAAGGTGATTTGAATGTTTGAAGCCCCATAGGAAGCTTGTCTCAAAGTGAACAATTCACCGAGTAAAGACTAATTAGGGCCCAAATTAATTAGAAGGTGTGGCTTAAAAGGATGTTGATGAGCAGAGTCTGTCACTGCAGACAAACAGGACAGAGCTAAATGAATCCGCCTCCGCCTCGTGTTCCCGCGCCCCCTCCCCTCCCGCCCCGGAAGGCCTGGGCCCCCCACATAGCCGCCAGAAAGACCCTCCGCAAATCCTGCAAATCCTCTCGGTTTCTGCAAGTTAACATTTATGCGTCCTGGGCGTGGTGTTTTCCGTCGGGAGACCTGGCCCCAGATGTCACTGACTTTAATTTTTGGTGCCCAAGTGGTCAGGAGCAAGTTTCACACCAAAAATGTGAAGTTACAGATCGGAGGGTAGGCCGGGAAAAGGGGAATGGAAGCACTCGGACCACGCTGGATCCGCGTCCGTTCTCTCTGCTCCGTGGTGTGTCTCCCGTGGGCTCAGCTGTTTAAAGCAAATCGCCACCTGCAAGGGCTCTGCGTCCCGACGGGTCCCCGAGGCTGCCCACAGCTCCCCGACAGCGCGTCAGAACGTGCCGTGGGGCCCTGGGGCGTCTTCCTGCTCTCTGCAAACAGGGTGTCATGCTCTCTCTCTACCTTCCTCTCCTCACAGATGGCGTGTTCGGAAGGTGCCAGAAGTTCCCGGCAACAGACGTCCACCGCTACGAATTGTCCCCGGGGGCTCTGCAGCACCTGAGAGGCACCTGGCAGAAGCTCTCGCGCACAGGTAGGGCGGCTCCCCGCACCGGCGCCGGCAGAGGCTGCGCCACAGGGCCCGGCCTCGGGTGGGGAGGAGCGAGGAGCGGCCGGTCAGCGGGCTGTGGCGGGAGGGCGGGCGGGTCGGGTGAGGGCCCGCACTGTGCTGGCTCGGCTGGGAGGCGCCGGGCCTGGGCCTCACAGGAGTCACGGTTCTTCTCACACTGCAAGGAGGAGGGCCCAGGCTGCCGCGGCAGAGGTGGCTGGTGTGGGGCAGCCGGGATTGGGGCTCCCCTTGGCCTGACTGCATCCAACTCAGGTGCCCTGAGAAAATCCACCTCTGGCATCATCGTGCGGTCTTCGTTTTGCAATGTCGTTGCCAGAGATTCCTGGCACCTATGTCCCAGGGTGCTACGAAGGCAATCTTGTTTTACGCAGGGTGAGAAGGAAAAAGGAAGGCAATTTTAAATATTATAATAATTTTTAAATCATATGGAATTTTTTATACACACAATTCGTATCCTGTGTAATGGTATCACGTGTGTGATTTGTAACATGGAGCCAGTTACTTGCCCCACGCCTGGCTCAGGACCTGCATGATCTGCCCGGGGGGAACCCGGCCTGGCAGTGGGGCCAGGGGACGGCGGTCTTGGGCTGCAGCCCGCCTGTGTTTCAGGGCCACTGCGCTCTCAGGCCCCACGAGGGCCCCACACGGAGTCTGTGGCCCAGCAAGTCAGGGGATGCGGCTTCCCTTGCTCCTCCTCTGGGGAGTCCGCAGGGTGCTCTGGGCAGTTCTGCAGGATGAATCACGTTAGTTCTTTCGTGTCTCAGCCAGGGCGCACCTGTCCCCCAAGAGCCACCCACGTGTGGAGGCTGAAGCAGAACCGCTGGGAGACCCCCTGTGTGCTCGCGAGAGGGGCGTGTCCCGCACAGCTGTGGAGCCAGGTGACCTCTCCCGGGTGTCATCCTCAGGGCCTCGGCCGTGGGAGGAGGGCGTCCTGTGGCCCTTCCCCAAGAGAGGACAGGACTCTGAGCATCCTCATCCCGGCGGACCTGTGCTCCCTTGTGACGCCCGTAGCTGTGACAGGAGGGGCAGAGTTAACCGTGTGAATGTTGCAAAGAGTGAAACATTAACGCAAAGGTAGTAACGCACCTCGCCTTAGAGCATGAGGGGACGGGACAGGGAGCACGCCACCGTACTCTGTAATTCCACGTGCACAGCGTGCTCATGTCAGAACGAGGAGGAGACTCGTAACCTGACAGCCTGTCGATACCCACCTTCCTCGCTGCACGTCCCAGGCTCCCCTTGCCCTCAGTGAGGAATCCCGCTGCGCCTCACGCCCGGTCCCTTGCCAGCAGGGTGGGGGTGTGGACCTTCCCTCCTGCCTGTCCCTGGCGTTCCCGCCCGAGTTGGGTCCTCAGGGCCTCTCAGGAGACGTGGGGTGCAGAGAGGTTCCTCGAGTTCCTGACGTCGCTCTCTGGAGCGCTGCTGTGTGGCTGCCACTCAGGCTGCTCGGACGGTCGGGGTCGCTCCTGCGTCCCATGAGCCCGCCTTCCCCTGCGGATGCAGAGGCTCGGGAACTCCCAGGTCAGGGTGTCACTGCCGTGTCTCCTGAGGCCGAGTCGATCCCTCTGGACCTGAGACCCCCCAGGCTGCAGAGTCTGGAGGACTTTGCAAAGTCTGCAGAGTACCCCAGGGCACAAAGTCGGGGGACAGGAAGCAGTGACCTTCCTCGTGGGCACTGGGGGTGATGGCGATGGTGATGGCGCCTCCCTGTCCCACCCCTGCTCCCGCCCTGCGAGTCCTGGCTGTGCAAGGACGGCCCAGGTGTCGGCAGTGAGCAGAGCGCGGCAGCCTCCTGAGAGCCTCGTCCTAGCCCGTAGGCATCGCCGCCCAGCTGTGGCCTCAAAGCCTCCCCCCTCTGACAGCCCAGCTTCCAGGCGAGGCCGGGGATCCTGGGCGTGAGTCTGGCTGCACTTCCTGGGCTGCCAGTGAGCCCCGGGTCAGAGCAACGCCATGCGGGACACCGTGACGCGGACATGGTAATCTGTGAGCACACGCATGTGGCTGTGGCAGAAGCACCGTGTGCAGGGAGGCAGATCCACCCCGGAGTGAGTGTCTAATCCAGGAGGGCAACACGCTGCCTTTCCACGTCGAGGTGGTTCTCTGCATAAACCCGCCCAGGCTGTCTGGTCACGTGGGACGGTGCCACGCCGGAGTACGGCACTGCTCTCTGCTTCTGGCAGACAGGCACGCGGTGGTGAGTGGAGTCCGTGTCCCTGAGCCCAAGCGTGACCTCCATCCATGCCGCCATGGCCTCTCTGTCCGTGAGCCCGCTGGCTGACGACAGTGGTGGCCGGGGAGGGAGGCCGAGTGGTGCCCGCCGAAAGGGCCGTCCTGCCTACCTGACTGCAAAGATCCTCCTCTGCCGAGGCTACCCCTTGGTGAGCGTTCACGTGGGACACACACATCTGGCACTTTGCACCTGTTGGAGAGGTCTAATGTATCTCTTCCCCAGATGTTCTCATCACTAATTTTCCAGTCGGGTTTCTGCTGAGTTCCTAACCGTCCCACCGAAGCCCCGGCCACGGCGCCGTAGCCGTCCACTTGGACGCAAAGTTTCCTGCAGACCATCTGCCGGCAGGGCCTGAGCCCCTGGTCCCAGCGTCCGTAGGGGATCATCCGTGTGTCCGAGCTGCAGGTGGGCAGGAGGGGGCATGGAGCAGCGTGGGCCAGGGCACCTGGGGCACGTCCTGGTGCAAACCTTGGGGTCTTCAGGGCCCACCGAGCCCAGTCCCCTGTGCAGCCCACCCTTGCTGATGGGTGATGTGTCACGTCCCTACCGCAGTGGGTCACACGGTGACTCCGTGGCCCGAGCTCACGTGACTGGTCTTTCTAAGGCCCAGTAGCGGAGCTCCCTTTGCCGCTTTCTGCATCTGCAGCGATTTCTGGCAAACGGAGGCTCTGGCCTCCCGGGGCCACACTGAGGCTGGACGGGCCCGTTCCCAGGAAAAGTGGGTCTCGCTGAGCCCCTGGCTGGGGCGCTGGGGCTCTGCGTGGCGCCGAGGAGGGGTGGTGGAACAAAGGCTGTGGGTGACTCCTCTACCAGTGCTCCTGCTGCGTCTCGCACAAAGCACAAGTTCAGAGGGAAAATCATCAGCTGTGTCAAGTCACTGACAGCCGCGCATGGACGGAGACGCGGAGCTGCTCGAACAGGGCCCTGTGTGACTCGTGGGCTGGGAGCCCTGCCCTGTGCGCTGTCCCCGTCCCGTGTGCCATCCCCGACCTGTGTGCCGTCCCCGACCTGTGTGCCGTCCCTGTCCCGTATGCCGTCCCGGCCCTATGGCTGTCCCCGTCCTGTGTGCTGTCCCTGTCCCGTGTGCCATTCCTGTCCTGTGGCTGTCCCCATCCCGTGTGCCGTCCCCGTCTGTGTGCCGTTCCTGTCCTGTGGCTGTCCCTATCCCGTGCATTGTCCATGTCCTGTGCGCTGTCCCCGTCCCGTGTGCCGTCCCTGTCCCGTGTGCTGTCCCTGTCCTGTGGCTGTCCCTGTCCCGTGTGCTGTCCCCGTCCTGTGTGCCATCCCCAGCCACTGGGGCAGATGACGTCAGGGCCTTGGGCAGTTCGCTTTAAGCCCCCCCTTCAGGGGCTGTGGACAGAGCCCGGTGTTGCAGGACTGGAAAACCCCACAGCTGATCTGTCCCTTGTGATGACAGTCCTTTTGCGTTTGTCGCTGTGCAGTGGACCTCGGTTAGCGAACTGGCTTCCTCGCTGACCCACATCTCAATTTCAGAGGCTTTCTCCGTGGTTCACAGTGACAGAAATTGCCCGCTGCCAAAACATCCCTGGTGTCCTCGCGGAACACGAGCATTTTTAGCTGTCAGACGTTGGGAGAGCGTGTTTCTTGGAAAAGGAAAAGGGGCTGTGTTGCCTGCCTGGCCCCACGAGCCGTGCGGCGCCGTGTTCTGGAAAGGGCCTTTCTAGGACAGGCCTGTAATTTGCCACGACTTGACAACTGTTCGTCAGGCCGGGCAGAGCACAGGGAAGCCGGCCTGGCCCAGAGAGGCTTCCCGGGGAGGAACTGAGAGTTGGGGGGCAGCTGCCGGGGAGCCCCGACTGTCAGCTGCTCTGCCCGCAGGGGCTCTGTGTGGAGGGTGGGAAGGGAGGAGGAGGAGGAGGAGGAGGTGGAGGGGTGGGGTCAGCCTGCAGGAGACTGTCGCGCGGGGTTTGAAGGTCAGACGGGCAAGACAGACTGAGCCTCAGAGGGGTCAAGAGATACTGGGGCCAACACGGGTTGGAGGACATGGCATGGAGGCTACTCGTGGGCGCACAGAGGGACCTCTCCAGCCCTGCTTGTCGGGGGGCAGAGGCTGAGCTGGGGTGCTAAGCTGGGCGTGGGGAAGCCCCAGCGTGGCCGCTTGCTCTGTGGGGTGGTGCCAGGCTCCAGGCCAAGTCCCGCTGTGAGCTGGGTCCTGACGCCCTGCAGGGTCTGCCTGCGTCTCCCGGACCTCCCGGCACCCCGGGCCTTCTCTCCAGCCACGTGCACTCCTCACTTCCTGTGGCCAACCGTGTCCTTTCCCCTGCGCTCTCCCTGGTCCTCGTGAGAGGTGAGGCGGTACCCGCGGCAGGTGCTCCTGAAGGAGGAGTCCATTCGCCCTTCTCTCTCGCCTTCTGCTCCTTGTCCTTCTGGGTGGGGCCAGGAGAACGCACCATGCGCGGTTCACGCGATTAGGTCTTTGGCTGCGTGGGCTTCCAAGACAGAGGGTGACACCACGATGCTACGGAGTGTTTCCCGCACGATCCTTCTTAGCTTTCCCGCCCACCCAGGCAGAGTCGCCGGCGCTGACGCCACTTGTTCACACCGCACTGCCACGAAGGAGCTGGCGCTGCCGTGGTTCCATTCCTCGGAAAACTGGAAGTTGTTGAGCAGAAACCCATGTCCTGCTCAGGAAGTGGCCGTGGGGATGGGGCCATCGCACCGGGAAGCGAGATCCACAGAACTTCGTGGAAGCGGCGGTGTCTGAAGCACGGGC